CTTATTAATTATAAAGTCGTTCGTGTGAAAATGACGGCACTATCTATAACTATCACGGCTTTATACTGTCGCAGGCGGTTTTTACATATTTTTCAGAGATCAAGATTGTTTAACATCAGCTTGCATAAACTTTCAGCTGAAGACAAATGTAGACACAAAAATTATTTCGGAGAAGATAGTATTATACTATACATAATTCAAATATCTTTGATTAAATTAAGTATTTATAATTTCGTGCGCATAACCGTTGTTACTTCGGCGTGATATAATCGAACACGTGCACTATTCTAATTTCAAACACAAATTATACATTTCGCTGTATCTCATTATAACCATTATCTAATGTTTTAACTTACGCTCAAACGCTTCGATTTGTTAAGATAATGTTATTCTAATTTAGAAAACAATGGCACATCAATGATTGTCTATTTACATCCCGGGCAAAATATAACAAACACGCATAGCTATTATCAATATTTAAAATCACAACTGTCTTGAACAATTATGAAAACACAATTAATATAACACATTAAAAAAGTAGAACTAAAACTTTTAAAAAAATATTTATCAGAACATGATTATAATTATTCATAAAGAAGGTTGTCATAGGTATTTAAAAATCGCTGCAATACATGCTTTTTAAAACACTCCCGCGTGTCAGAAAATTTATTAATTCCCACAAAAATTATACCATTAGATGCGGAATTCATTTTGAAATAAAATGATGTATGATTTAACTATTTTGGAGTAAATGTAAGACCGAACGTGTGATTCTAACGGCACTACCCCTAACCGTGTGAGTATTACGCCGCCGCGTAATTATAATTACATGACACCGGTCTTGAGAATTATATTCAGTGATTTATAAACAGTGCTTCAGGGAATTTAAATGTGCTGCAATATTAGGACATTCAAATTCTAACTTCTTAATTAGTATATCATTGGCAGAATTTAGAAAAAAAAATATTAAGATATTATGTTTGGTATTGTTCAGACAAATTATAAACGTTCACGCTGAAACTTCAAGAGTTTTAAATCATTTGATCAATAATCGGCGATAACTCTTTGTAACGTACAATATCTAGATCTATAACCCCTATCATTTTACTGTCTAATTATAAATTTTAATCACTATGATCAAAGTATTGACAGTCAAAACTGCTCTTCTATGCAGATTTACTTTAAACATTTTTGGGATAATTCCATTTAAACTCCATCTGTTCTTGCCTTAATAATCGGAAGCTGCTGACATATGTTGGTACGCAAATTGCTGCGATGATTACTACTCTATCCTCCATTTACTCAATACAAATGAGCCGCGTCACGACTAAACCAACATAGCGAGTTTGCGACCAGCATGGATCCAGACCAGCCTGCGCATCCGCGCAGTCTGATCAGGATCCATGCTGTTCGCTATCAGTTTCTCTACTTGTAAAAGGGTTCGTAAGCGAACAGCATGGATCCTGATCAGACTGCGCGGATGCGCAGGCTGGTCTGGATCCATGCTGGCAGCAAACCCACTATGTTGGTTTTGTCATGACGCGGCTCAAATACTTTGTCCAGAAACGATTTAAGAAATTTTTCAAGCTCTAGGGTATATTGACGAATTATATTAAAAATAGATGCAATATTGAGAGGTATCAGCTTGATGTTTCTTTACCTAGAGTGAATGCAACATTGATGTACTTGTTGGTTATGTTTACAAAAGTGGACTCATATTTCTGTAACATAAAATATATAGTTTGATCTTGTAAGCTCATAACTGTTCTTTTCTGTAGTAAGGACAAAGCAAGTGTGGAAGACTTCAATAAGACTTTATGACTTTTTGATTATTAGTGAAGCCAGTGAATAAGTTATTGGTTGGAAACTGCAGAAAGTGTACAATGTATATGCACAATTCTCCCTTTCCCTTAATGGCCTTCAACTGGAATCATTAAATTTGTTTATCAGTATTTATCACATAAAACCTGCTTAATAGGGGTTCATAAGTATCATGAACCAGAATCTTTGTTTAAGCTAAGCCGATACTTTGTATATGCATATTTTGCTCTTCAAATGACTTGCAACATTAAATTGTCACTCATTACTGAAAATAATGTTTTTGCTTTTTATCCTTGCCGAAAAAGTAATTTTATTAATTAACAAACTTACACAGTTGCTTATGCGAAAGCAAATAATGAATGACTGTCAATATTATTGATAAAAATATGATTTTAAATTGGACTTCTTTCAAGAGACTGCTTTCAAAAGAATCTATAACGGCATCAAATCACAATTAATTGAGTCAGCAAATTTAGGTTAAAAGCCTTTAAATGGTTACTTATCATGTCTATTTATACTTTATTTATTACAAGCATCATCTGCACAAACCACATAACATATACGTTGCTTCATATCTAATATAATGATTATGAAAATTAAGTGATGGTTATATACTACAATTGAGGCTAACAATATTGGAATATGATATTTTATTCTGAAAATTGTTTTATTGGCTAACGTTACAAAAAGAATTAATTTTGATACACCGCATTACAATCTGGCCAACTTAAATTACTAAATAATCTTTCGGGCCAGTCTTTGAATCGAGGTCCTGTGTATGAGTGCTTAAACACTTGGCACGCTAAATAAGCACGAGAAGTTTCTTGGATTGGGGTATATTTCTGTAATTGTATCTTGGACTGCTTCTAAAATATAAAATGCCTAAAACCCTTCCGTTGGACTCGGTGGCGAGTATAAATAAACACAAATACACACTCTCATCTTATTTTAATCTTATCAATAAAACGAGAATAGGCTGTGACAAAAGTAATAATACTAATTTATCCTGTCAGCATATTTTATGATTGTCACAAATCAGTAAATTTTTCCTCTAAAAAAATATCTTAGTTTATCATCCCTACTAAGCTCTAATTTTTCACATAATCTTTTTTATTATTTGAATTTGTATTTATTATTGATTTTACAATAATCTTTCGTTTCATTTGTAAAAGATAAGCTTTGAAATACATCGAACATATCTCGAAACCGAATCTGAGTACCTCTTTCAAAGAAAAAAAATTAAAGAAACCCTTACATGCACGGCAAAAACATTTTATAAGAGTATTGTGTTTATTGGAACCTTACACATGATGTCATAAGCATGAAACATCATCCTTCTGAATTTGTCCATATGTCACATTTTTTTTTATCTTTTTTTCTTGTTTATTATTTTTTTTAAACGAAAATTTGATGTTAGTCTAATTTGATAAGCTACAAGGAAATGAAGGCTGGTCGGGGAAATATTGTTCACTTCTGGTCTCTGTATTAAAAGCTGTCATTAAGAAAGATTCTTTATCTGATAATATATAATTATAGTCATAAACACGTTCATTGTTTCTGATCATGAAACCATCTTTGAAACAAATGAATAGAATTTTCAATTATGTATTGTGTCCTTAAGGAATCATTAAATAATTATTACATTTCTGAATATGAAAATAAAGATAAATATTTCGTAAGAAGATTTGCAAAACAATTCTTTTTAAACTGGAAACACGCTTGGAAAATTACTTGCAAAAAATGACGGCCAATGTACGGACGAACGAACGATCGAATCTATTTGAAAATAAATTGTTTATGTTACGTAACGGACACAAAAAATGTTATTTTATAAAATGTTACAAGTATTTGTCAATATATGTGAAGAAAGAGAATCACTTACATGATGTAAGGTAAGTAAAAATCAAGGAAAAAATGAAGCTAATTACCTTTGATAGCATCAAAAGCAAGTACACTTTTTGTACATTTCTTGTTATTTTTTAATGGAAATATGATGTAAACACCGTAATTGGATGTTTTGCTTTTGTTGTCTCTGAATGCAATAGGCTGCTGTTTTCTATATATCATAAACAGGTGATCATTATACTTCGTCGTTCGCGATTTACTGATGATAAAAGGCCGATAAATAAAAAAAAGGTGATTCCTTGCGGCAAGTAAATCGATGTTTTGCTTGTTCCAGCAATATTGTGTGAACGCTAGCTATAGACTTGTGACAGTCGTTTATTTACTTTCTCAAACTCCTCCGTCAAACAGCGTGGACCTTTATTAAATCATTATACATATATTTAGAACATTTTAAAATATTCTTTTCCTGACATAAAGTTAATAACGTTTATAATCGTTTAATACTGATTTTTTAAGATGGTGAATCTGTGTACACTTTTACTATCGTTTTATTTGGCTTTAACAATTGGAGTTTATTGTGGTAAGCTGATTCAAATAATTATTTTGAATATACTTATACCGTATTGAGTAAAACCTAACTGCAGATGATATATTCATATGAGCCGTGTCACGACAAAACCAACATAATGGGTTTGCGACCAGCATGGATCTAAACCAGCCTGCGCATCCTCGCAGTCTGATCAGGCTCCATGCTGTTCGCTACCAGTTTCTCTACCTAAAATAGAGTTGGTAAACGAACAGCATGGATCCTGATCAAACTGCGCGGATGCACAGACTGGTCTGGATCGATGCTGGTCACAAACGCACTATGTTTGTTTTGTCGTGACGCGGCTCATATATAGTTTCTTTTGATATGTTTATTTGGCACCCATTTCTCTCGTGAATTTTATTTAACAGATAAACGTGTACTTAACTATAATTTCAAACAAGCATTATAATGAGACATATTATGGTGGCATATTTCATTTCATATGTTACATAAATAAAGTTACTCATAAGATCAATAGCCTCTGTGTCATCATATATTTTTGCATTTTTTTTTCTAACCTAAAAAAAACAAACACCAAAATCGAAAAAACAACGGCAATATTGTTTTAAAAGTAAAGATTTGATTTATTTCTTATGTAACTTTATTTTATTCATTTTTTTAACTTTCATTTTTTATTCTTTTTTTTTGTTTGTTTGAAAATCCTAAAATCATTACAAAGTTACTCATAAGGTCAATAGCCTCTGTGTCATCATAAATTTTTGCATTTTTTTTATTTTCTTATCAGCTGATATAAATACCGCCCAACAAGCTTTGGAATATGTGTTTCAAATTAGGGACAGTAACTGTGGGTTGGGAACTGGGGAAGTCCTTCCCCTTCAGTTTGACGTCAAGGCGTGGAACCAGTATACGGATCCTGCTATAAGGTATATTACCATAATTTGATTAATTTTTTTATTAAAATATGTATATATAAAAAATGATGATTAAAATAATAATCAGACAAATCAACAGTGAATCATACAATATGTATTTATATTTAATGTTAGTAATTAATCTTTACTCAAACCTGAAAAAGGAATATATATATAACGCGCTCTGCAAAGTCCACTAAGATAAGATTCATTTGATTAAGAATGATGGCTTTTTTCTGGCAGACATTTTGGATATTTTACAAGAATTGTCTCGAATATATTTCTCTTTCATATCGTTTTCTAAGGGCCCTGTCACACCAGACTGCGCTTACACTGCGTTTGCACGGCGTTGTAAAATTTAACAAAGCGCCGCGAGATCGCAATAAAAAATGTTATATTTTTGTTGACATAAAGACTTCATGAAGTCTTCACGGCGTCCCCAGGGCGATCATGGCGATGTTACGGAGCTTTCACGGCGTTTTATTTGACGATTGTCTTCGTTCGGATCGCGCTTCTACGACGTTCTTTGCGCTTTCACTGCGCATTTACGGCGCTCATACTGCGTTCTCGCGGCATTCACACTGCCCTGAAATCGTAAAGCTCAGTAAAAGCGCCGTGCACACACAGTATAAGCGCGGTAAGGACGCCGCACAAACTCCGTACAGGCGCCGTGGATAACCACCACGTTCATTCGGCGTTCTTTTTGCGCTTTCATGGTGCTCCTGTTGCGTTGTAGGATATGCTACGGTGTTGCTACGGCGTCCTATCTGCGATCCCACTGCGCTCATTTTAGAACGCCGAGTGACGGCGTTTGTTTTGAACATGCTCAAAATGCGCGCCATCGGTCGGCGTCCTATGCGATGCCACAACGATGCTACGGCGATGCTGCGGCGATGTTTGCGATCTTACTGCGCTCACCTCGGCGTTCTGAAGTTTCACTGGACGCCGTGAGAACGCCGTCCTAGTGTGACAGGGGTTTTACTTGCAAATGACACTTTGAAAATAATTTTTACACACAAAATGTCAGTAGTTTATCAGATTATATTGATTTATAACGGAGATCCAGTTTTTTTAAAAACAGAATAAATTATCACAGTGTGAACTGTAACGTTTTAAGTATAATAGCTCCTCGAGGCTTTAATGTTACGTTTTCTAAGTAGTAAAGACTTATCATTATTCATCACATTACAGCATTTTATGAGCGTTTATACCATATTTACTTATATCATCTAAGTTTACTAAAAGCAACCATATGGAAATGTAATAACTTTACCTAGTATCGCTTATAACCATCGGAGAGATGTACATTTACATCAAACATCATTCTTTATTTGCTTTACAGGAAATTCATAAAATAATTGAAAGTTTTTCAATATAAGAAATGCTTTGCATCAGCATGTCTTTTTTCAAAGAAAACAAATGCTTCGAATTATTTTTTCATTGCAAACCTTAACGTGAATAATACATGCATATACTCGTTCGTATAAAATTCGCGTCTTTTTTTCAATAATTAGATAACTGTAGTATTGTCTCGTTTATGAAACATTTTGTGTACATTCTGAGGTCCATATTATAAAATGTTAAACTGTATTTTACTATAGGCTTTGTAGTAATATAAATACTTTTTTCCTTAATAATCATTTAATTAAAAAAGAATGAATATTAAAAAAAATTGTGACCGATAAAAGATATGATATATTGACATAAAAAATACAAACATAATTATGTCTTCCTTACATGCTTTGAGACTAGCAAATCTATAAAGGGCATTGATGTCATTAAAGAAGTCTTTACTTTACTTTAAATGATGCACTCAAAAACTCTAGCATTATATACCGATAAATTTGACATAAACTATGCTCAAATTTCATATTAAAAATATTGATAATTGCTACAAAGTCTCTTTGTCAATATAAAATAAATATGTTTTGACTTCATCCGAAGTAGATATGATGTGTTTTAAACTTTACACACTTTAGGTGGTCACAATATGAATATATAGTGTCATTTTTAAAGAAAAAAAAACAAACAAATTTTACTTGACCTTCAAAATATAATGCAGCTTCTCATATACAGTTTACTCATTCTTTTATTCAAATGAAACATATTTAGTAAGAAATTCATAGATTTCAAAAACAAATTCTATGATTGAAGTATTTTACTCAATGATGAGCATAATATATCTTTAATAACAGATATGAACATAACTTTTTCAGAACAGCCAATTTCTTATCAAAAATCCTTCAAATCAATGATGGAACATTGGATTCGCTTACAGACGAAACATTCTTTCTTCTTGTTAGAAACAATGTTCATGGAGATTCGTTAATCTTTGGATCTGCTATTGCTATTGAAAATGGTGTTTACAGGTTTGTGGATTTCTTTAATAAATTTAATTGTTATTAATTCCACAAATTCTTTAGTCAGGTATCTAATATTAGGAATATTGAACAACTATATTATGTTACAATTATTTCAATCAATTACTTTTCTAATTGTTGGAAACAATTTTTACCAGTAATGGTCTTTAATAAAAAGTAAAATTATGCAGCAACTCATACAATTCTAACTGCACAGAAGAATTGGTAGCCTATGAAATAACAGTCTTGTACACACCTTATGAGGCGAATTTTCCCTAACGTTCTTATATGTTTAAGATATTGTTCATAAATGATCCATATAGAATACAACTTGAAATGAAACAGGTGTAACATTTTACTAAGTCTACGATATAAATTCAATGAAACACTTTTTTGATGTTTTCCAAATTCCATCAAATATAGTCAAACATGGGTTTTACATTGTTGTCTTTGATTTTTTAACTATTTACTTATTTCGTAATTTAAAGCAGAGCTGTTGGTATTGCATTGACAGCAGTGTACCATAGATAAATCTTAATTTGATGAGAAATAGGGTGAAATCAATATCTTGTACATGAACAAATATTGTCTTGACGATCGTTAAACGTAACAATAGTCAGAAGATTAAATTCTTACTACATGTACCGTATATAAGATAACTTGTTATATTTTTTTGACTGATAACATTTTGACACAAACGGTTATACACCAAATGTTATCATAGATTTTACAGTGAATGTTAATTTTTTTTCTTCGATATAAAAAAACAAAACAAAATAAAACAAAAAAACAATTATATCTTTGTTTATTTGTTTCAAATGCCAAATGTATTACTTTAGGAATAATTAACACACAATCTATCACTTATCTTTGACAATGTGGAAAGAAACGTATACATGTATATTCAGTTTAGTGTCAAGTTTTACGTTACAACAAAACTAACCTATAGTGGTAAATACTTTAAGTCCTTTTAAACTTTGTTCTATTGTAGCAAATGTGACTCATTTGTGATAAAAGTCTTAACGGGATTATGTAAAGCATGTCTTTGACCGCCGTAAGAACACATCTGAGGATGTTTCTTAATTCAAAATTTTACTATAACCATGATTAAATGTTGAATTCTGCTTAACCCGGAGGTAGGGAGGGGGGGGGGGGGACGTGAACGGTCACTAGCGCTTTCCAGTACCGTACATGAACAGGCTCAGCAACATTTCCAATTTTGTCGTGTTGGGCTTTCTTTAGGGATTCTGTTTCTCTAAATTTACACTTATTTTGTAATAGGAGAAATAGCAGAAGTTGTTGTTTAAAATAGGTTTTCTAACAATTAAAATGACCTTATTATTTTCAGTAAATATAACATATTCTGTCCCTATGCATACAAGAAAAATAACACAGTGCGGTCACATGATATATCAATCAATTACAATTACCTTGATCCGACAACAGAATGGTATAACAGTGTCAAGATCAAAAACTGGAGTAACGTTACTATAGCAAAAGATGGTATTCAGTACAGGTAAGATACATTTTTACTTTAAAGGTCCATTATTTCATTTCTAAGGCGTAATGTGCCTGAAAGACCTTAATCATTGAGTAGCATCTATGTCTTCCTCAACCAGATAGAGCTGCCATGATATATAGCTAGTATTATATAACAATTTTATAATTTAAGCAAAATGATTGATCAGACACTCAACATTCCTCTTATAAAAAGTATACATTATCATGTTTTCAACAGCAACTTATATTTTTTTCTATTTTTATCATATAATAATTATACTTAATACATGATATTGTGGTATTTCCGACCAGTTTCATTATTTGAAGAATGTTTATTTCTTGTTCTTAACAAATCGCTTTTCAAAACTTGATCATCTACACGACTACAAGGTCAACTCATGTAGAATTGTGAAATTAGTAAATTAGTATGGATTTCTTTACGGTATAAAATGATGAAGCAATGTTATTGAACCTGTTTTTGCTACTTTAAGTGCAATTTTATAACTTTTACAATTTGTTAATCTGATTTGCTATGCAGCTTTGTTGCAATACTGCTTACAAACAGTGGCGGCGTTGCTGAGTGGTAAACACATCGGACTAGTAATCTAAGGACTGCTAGGCGCATGCGTTAAAACACCATCAGGGACACACCGTTGAGTCCTTTAGACTAATTACTAAATACCGGATACAGAATGCATTCGAAAGTGTGTCTATAAGCTTTAAAATGCTTTTTTCGTAATCGAACTAAAATATATATTGTATAAACTAAATGTGCTTGTTTTGTTTTTAAGATAAATTGCCAGGAGTATGATACCAATACAACTTGTTAGAATCATCAGCTTTTTAGGGCATCAGTTAATTCCGAGTGTGTATTGATTGACTATGATAAAAATTTAATTAGTGATCGAAAATTAATTTTTATTCGTAGTGAAAAATCATTTTACGAATGTAATTTTATTAAAAATAATAACAGAAAAGATCATTTTGTGAAAATGCTATGAAATAACAATTATACATGTATTATATTACTTGTCATGTAATAAAAATATTTCTATTGTTTCTAGACAAGATAATAGTCTTCTCCCTGAAGTACAAGAGGAATATCCCATTGCCAAGCTTGCTGATGGACATTGGACGAATCCATATTACGACTGTGGGGGCGGTGACATATGGATGGTTACATACTCATCTCCTATATTTAAACTGACCAATGGCGTTGCACATTTTCAGTAAGTATACATACGTTGACTAAGACTTTGTAATATTTCTACGATCAGAGACGCCAAAAGACGTTCCGCACTTTAACCCTACTGGAAGGAATAATTTATCCGATGAAATTGGATGGATCCAACAGAATGATTTATGCAAACGCTGGTATACTTCTTAATTTTTCATCTTCACTTTACATTTTCTAACAAAATATGTCAAGTAGATCTACATTGAAATGGTTATAATTAAAGATTTCCAGATCAACCACAATAATTAGAATGTGGATATTATGTCAACAACATTATTAAACTATTGTAATAAAGAATTTACTGATTTACTCATGCAAGGGGAATCAAGATGAAATAATTCAATCTAGATTCTAGCTTTTAATTGTCATACTGAGACACATATATGAACAAGCATTAATGGAATCTTATTTTCTTTTATTTCTGATTAGTTTCTTGAATTAGCATACAATTAAAAATATGACTTTTTCTTAGAAAGCTGTTTTCTGGAGAGAGAGAAAAAAATGTTTTAGAAATGTCAATGACCGTGATAAGACAGTCAATGTGACCGAGTTACTTTATGTTATGTATAGATGTTTCTCATGTTACACGTGGCGTTTTCATACAATCATTCATTAACGGTTCATCTTTATACATGACAAGATAATTAGCTGAAAATAAAACGTTTCAAGTTAAACCTTTTGTTTTTGCTGCCAAGATTTCAGAAAAACTATCTTATATAGTAATATCAAACCGACCGTTAGAAACAAAAACAGTCATAAGCACTGAATTCTCAGAATTGTTTTGGGATGCATAGGAGTATATGAATGCTTGACTAAATATAAAACATGAACCATGGTTGCTTCCGCGCAGTCTGATCAGGATCCATGCTGTTCGCTTACCAACCCTTTTACAAGTCGAGAAACTGATAGCGAACATCATGGATCCTGATCAGACTGCGCGGATGCGCAGGCTGGTCTGGATCCATAATGGTCGCTAACACATTATGTTGGTTTTGTCGTGACGTGGCTCAATTGTGCATCGTCACAGATGCATTTTACTTTGATGTCAAATGTGAAAATTTAATTGAAAATAATAATTCCATAAATAAAAATATGATGAAAAATCTAACACATATATTATAACATATAAATTTTGACTGAAATAATGTTATGTTAATACAACATCATTGTGTTTAAATGTACTTTGGTTGTTTTCAAACGCGTGGTCTCCAAACTCGACAGGTTCATGTAGTCAATATTCAAATCTGAAAAAAAAAATGTTACAGTTAGGACATTGAACGTGAAAACATATTATAATTATCTGTCAAGTTTATATAATTCAGAATTATTTACGCTCGGAAAGTGTAGCGTGTGAACATTAAATTGTGGTTGTGTCATTAGAGAGAAAAATGTGATTATCAACGAAAGAATTCTGCAACAAAACAGAATTTGTTAATGCCTTTACAAGGAATTGCTGCATTGTAACATGTTACGGAAATTAAAATTATACTCATTAGATAATTGAACATTATAAAATTGCACTGCCAATTCTTTCAAAAGGAATACTTTGATGTTTTTCTGAAACATTTAAAAGTAAAAATATTTTTAAACTTATAATATCTTGAAGATTCTTTGAAAATGGATTACATAATATACATGAAATGGATACAATGAATCGGAGTATTGTTTTTTATGATATAAATCTAGCTTATAAATATTTGAAATGTTGTTATTTAGAGAATTAGATTTTCTTCAAAGATAATGCGATATAAATAGACGCCTTCCATTCAATTGGCTTTGCGACAAGATCAAACACGCAACAAAATATACAAAAGATTTATAGGTTAATTGCTTTTGACATTTTAACAGAAAGACAGACAGACAGACAGACAGAAAACTTTATTTTCACTCAAGGTATTACAAATCAACATGAGGATGTATGCAAATAAAGCAAATTAAGCAATATATGGTTCCGGTAGAGATCTGCAATAGAAAAAAAGGAAAAAAATAAAATAGAAAAACCATTATTTATGCATTCAGTATCATAATTATATCATATATCATGGGGGAATTCACTCCATAAATACATAATAGAACTTCATACCCACATGCATAAGTACATATGTACTGAAATAGTAAATAAACAGTGTAAAGCGTCAATTTCACATGTCATTCTAAATTTAGACATTGGAGCAGATCACCTGTCAAAATGAAATTGACATAAATTCATGTACATGTTTATAATATTGAAAAAAAGAGTTCGAATCATATCTTGAATTATAGACATAGTTGTTGGTAATGTGAAATGCTGGTAGGAAATAAACTGCTTATTCTGGTATTTAAAAAAAATAAAAATAAAATGGTATAAATCATATGATCTACCAAATCTATTTTCTTTCGCGGAGTATTAATGATTTATGTAGTTCGGCCAATAAAAAAAAACAGCACGAAAACAAAGGAGAAAGTGTGTTTTCAATTCTAAACTGAGACAGCAAAGTTACATCTAAAAATGGCATGAAAAAGTGTGTTATAGGTCAAAAAATGAACTAGAACTGCCACTATAATGGCGTGAATACCCCCGCATACCACTTTGTCAGACTCAACAGTGGTCATTTAGAGCTCAAGGACAACCTCCCTGCCAAATCTGAGGTTACTAAGCCAGTGCATTGCTAAATTATGTATTCTTTATGCTTCAAATGTGAAAATGTCAAATTCAATACATTGCAGACAGGACATACTTTAGCAATTGAGAAGAAAAGCTTTTTTGTCAAGGTCCCTGTGACCTTGACCTTAGACCCAGTGACCTCAAAATCAATAGGGGTCACCTTATAGTCATGACCAACATCCATGCCAAATATGAAGACTGTGGGTCAAAGGAATCTAGTTATTGGGCAGACAAACTTTTTTAAGTCAAAGTCCCTGTGACCTTGACCTTTGACATGGTGACCTCAAAATAAATAGGGGTCATCTACTTATCATGACTAACCTCCATTCCAAATATGAAGACTGGGTCAAAGGAATCTTAAGTTGTTGGGCGGACACGCTTTTTAAAGTGAAGGCCCCTGTGACCTTGACCTTTGACCTCAAAATCAATAGGGGTCATCTACTAATCATGACTAACCTCCATGCCAAATATGAAGACTGTGGGTCAAAGGAATCTTAAGTTATTGGGCGGACAAGCTTTTTGAAGTCAAGGCCCCTGTGACCTTGACCTTTGACATGGTGACCTCAAAATCAATAGGGGTCATCTACTAATCATGACTACCCTCAATGCCAAATATGAAGACTGTGGGTCAAAGGAATGTTAAGTTATTGGGTGGACAAGCTTTTTGAAGTCAAGGCCCCTGTGACCTTGACCTTTGACCTGGTGACCTCAAAATCAATAGGGGTCATCTACTAATCATGACTAACCTCCATGCCAAATATGAAGACTGTGGTTCAAAGGAATCTTAAGTTATTGGGCGGACAAGCTTTTTGAAGTCAAGGCCCCTGTGACCTTGACCTTTGACCTGGTGACCTCAAAATCAATAGGGGCCATCTACTAATCATGACTTACCTCCATGCCAAATATGAAGAATGTAGATCAAAGGAATCTTAAGTAATTGGGCGGACAAGCTTTTTGAAGTCAAGGCCCCTGTGACCTTGACCTTTTGACTTAGTGACCTCAAAATCAATAAGGGTCATCTACTAATCATGACTAACCTCCATGCCAAATATGAAGACTAAAGGTCAAAGGAATGTTAAGTTATTGGGCGGACAAGCTTTTTGATGTCAAAGCCCCTGTGACCTTGACCTTTGACCTAGTGACTTCAAAATCAATAGGGGTCATCTACTAATCATGACTAACCTCCATGCCAAATATGAAGACTGTGGGTCAAAGGAATCTTAAGTTATTGGGCGGACAAGCTTTTTGAAGTCAAGGCCCCTGTGACCTTGACCTTTGACTTAGTGACCTCAAAATCAATAGGGGTCATCTACTAATCATGACTAACCTCCATGCCAAATATGAAGACTGTGGGTCAAAGGAATCTTAAGTTTTTGGGCGGACAAGAAAAAACCGACGGACAGCCGGACGGACGGCCGGCCGGACGGACGGACAAGCTGATTCCAGTATACCCCCCTTAAACTTTGTTGTGCGGGGGTATAACTATAGGTTAGGGCCATCATGTTTTCTCATGCGCCTACCAACAGCACTGTGGTTAGTCTAGGAAGCGGGTTTGAAAATAATTTATTTAATATTAAAACTTACGGTTCTGTCACAGACTAACAGAAATACGTTTCAACTAATAAATGTAGAATGGTTTTTGGGAAAAGATAAACTTATGTGATACTGTCATACCTCAGAAACATGTACATGTTTGCAATAGTTTTTGGCTAAAATGATGTTGAAACCAAGAAACAGTACTCGACGTGCATGGTTGTGTGTGACGTCATTTTCAGGTATTGAGAGCGGCATTATTTTGGAGAACAAAAGGAAGATTATTTCTACATCAATTTCAATTGAACACTGTGCATACTAAACGGAAAACGGTTATCTACATTTAGGCTCTATTGTTCCTTTCATTAGATATCGATAATTTCCTACCTTTCGTGAAGGATCAATGTACTTTTCGCAATAGCTTTTGGCATAAAGGCCTCTTACATAAATTGAAAAGTTTTGGTACTAAAGGAAATCTTATAGGTTGGTTCTCCTCTTATCTGTCGAACAGAAAACAGGAGGTTGTTGTTCCAGGTGCAACATCAAGGTGGAATTTTATCAGAGCAGGTGTACCTCAAGGGTCCATCTTGGGCCCCCTTCTTTTTCTCATTTTTATCAATGATATTGTTGCCGACATGAGAGCTAATATACGCCGGTTCGCTGATGATACCAGTCTTTACATCACTGTCGAAGATCCAGTAAGTGCTGCCGAAACTTTGAACGCAGACTTACAAACAATATCAAGATGGGCCTCAAAGTGGCTAGTGAAATTCAACTCTAAGAAAACAGAATCTCTAATCATTTCTCGTAAACCAAACCACACCCCAAATCACCCTCACGTATTTATGAACAATGTTGAAATTCAGGAGGTATCTAGCCACAAACATTTAGGTCTAATTTTTGCAAATAATTTGAAATGGAATATTCATATTGATTATGTACTTGGAAAAGCTTATCAGCGCATAAATATAATGCGGAAACTTAAGTTCACTCTTGACCGACAATCGCTTCAAACTATAAACATTTCATTTATTCGGCCAATATTAGAATATGGTGATATAGTTTTTGACAATTGTACACTTGAGCAAAAAACCGCACTTGAAAATGTCCAGTATGAGGCTGCCCGTATTGTTACAGGTGCAACTAAACTAGTCTCTTTGCAAAAGCTTCTTGATGAAGATGGTTGGGACACTTTAGAATCCAGACGTCAGAAACATAAGCTACTCCTTTTCTACAAAATGAAGTCCAACCTAACGCTATCTTATCTTTCAGATTTATGTCCGCCATTAGTTGATAACGAAAATTATCTCCTCCGTAACCGTGAAGATCGTAGTTTACCAAGAGCTAGAACATCGCTGTACTATGACTCATTTCTCCCTGCAACAACTAGAGCCTTTAATGAACTTCCTATATCTCTTAGAAATGTAGCAACTGTTTCAACTTTTAAGAAAGAATTGTTTAAACAAATAAAAACTGTACCGCAATATTTCTACTTTGTAAAACGTAAAAATAAAATTATTTAGTCATGCCCGTATTCGTACAAATTGTAGCTTACTTGCAGATGACCTATTTTCCAAAAATATCATATCATTACCTCTTTGTATCTGTGGATTACGCGAAACAGCCTCTCACTTCTTCTTGCATTGTAGGCAGTATGCTAATATCAGACCTTTCTTGATAAATGTTATCAATACTTATTGTATTGTTTCTCTTAAAACCATTATTTCAGGAAACACATCTTTTTTCAGTTGGAGAGAATGAAAGTATATTCAAAACTGTTCACACTTATATTGAAAAGTCTAAACGTTTTAACTGATCTGAAAAGGTCCATCATCTTTATGAATGTGTCATTCTGCTGTTCGCCGCAATTCTATAGCTTCACACTTCTTTATATCTTTAAATTTCTCATAATTTCTTTCTTTAGTCGAATTTTATTCCTAATTTAAACTTCTTTACACTTCTTTATGTTTTTCTTTCGATTATTTTTTCGATTGTTTTTTTCTAATTTTGTTTCTTATTTTCCTAATCATAATAATGTTAATATATTTTATCTTGGATGTAACAATTTTATTAAATCATCTGTATCGCCAAAATATGTACCGATGTATAGCTAGAAGTGGAGAGAATTACAATAAGCTTTGAGCTTCCAGTTCAATCCACTTTATCATGATTTTGTATAAATTTTGTGTTTGATGTGAATATTGTAACTTGATGAAAAAATAAATATGTTTAAACCAATAGCTTACAAAGTGAACGAGATCTGGTTTCATCTGTTATAAACATATATTACTATTCTTTAATTTAAAGTGTTTTCTTAAAGCATGATTATAATTTATTTTCAGGGGTGTAGCAACCATAGATATAGAGCTGACATACATTGACATAAACCAATGTGACATTGACGTGGACGCCACGTCATCGGGCCTTGACGTCTTTCGTGGCACACACAAATGTCAAAAAACTACCAAGGTATTATAAATTTACATTTAATCAAACCTTTAAATGGGTGTATAGAATCTATCAAGCTAACATACACAGTTATTGTGGTTTCATTGCTCAGGTGAAAATGCACCTAATGTATCAAAAGTTATGTGACAATGATATTAAACCAAATAAACAGGTGCGCGAATAGCAGTATACACAACACATAAGAGGTACATTGCCACTCATAAAATGACTTATAAAGGAAATCTATTACAATTTTTGTTGCACGCACAAAATGCTGGCCCAGTCTTCAAACACGCGCACTTTTCGCATGTCACATTGTTTTCTGTTCTCTTTGTCAAAACTTTCCATCACCATGTCAGCTCCAAGCTAACCTTGTTCTGTACCCGTCCCTGATTACACTTAGAAAAAAAAACATACTAATTAATGCTATAAAAAGGATAGCATAATAACATGTATAAATTTTTTTTTACAATCTCGAAAATAAGAAAATAAATTGCACTGTCTCGTTATATTTTCTTATTTGGAAACAAACAAATTATAAATGTAAGCTGACTGTAATTTCATATCAAATAAATGAAAAGCAATAATTTCCCATGGGTTATCCTTTAATTTCATCCGTTAGTGCTATAATTAGATATTCTATTTTTTTTACCCGGAAACTTTGGCAATTATTTATTTTTTATGCTTTCGGTTATGTAGTCATTTGCGATACTTTTTCATTTAAACAGATAAGAAAGGTCATGTATACACTTGATCGAATGAATTAGTAACGAATCTCGACATGAATTGAATGTTTATTTCTCAGAATTATTCAAGTCCTTCAAACTTTTTTTACATAGAGTAAACTATTATGTAATATCATGTGATGCCATTTAAGTTTACTGTGTAAATAATGCAATGTTTTTATTTATTTTCAAATGCTCTTTCAATGAACGAGTGGTTAAGATCGTTGACTTCAAACCACTTGCTCCTCATCGATGTGAGTTCAAATCCTGCAAGGGACTTTGGATACTTTCATGTAAAGGAGCTATACAGACAGCTTACGGAACGTCAGTTTACTTTAGCCTGGAATAACACTTTGAAGGCCACCTGAGGTCATCGTCAACCAGTTAAGCTAGAAAGTCGCCATGTGACCATTGTAGTGTCGGTGTGACATAACCCCCCTCCCCCAACAAGTAACATTTCAAAAGAAGATCCATCAACTTAAAAGTAGAAATATAGGAAACAAATAACTTTTTTAACTTTAAAGTTACTAAATCGTTTAATTTTCGTTCCAAACTTTGTTCATTTATGTTTCAGTGTGTTCCAGTGACAGGTATGGGATTCGTGCCCGGGGCTTACAACTGTTTCTGCAAGGATGGGTTTTATTTCTCAGACAAGTCCAAATCAGTACAAGCGTACACTGGCAAGGAGATAGAAGAGTATTTCAGACAGACTGGTAACATAGAAGATGGACTATTTCAATGTGTTGTCTGTGCTGAGGGATGTGACACGTGCGTTGACGATTCCCCGTGCTTGTATAGTAGAAATGAACCGTTGATGATTACACTTTTAATTCTAGATTTATTAACTGTTGCCGGGATCATAGGGATTGCTATTGCTACATACTTGTATAGAATCGAATTGGTGGGTAAACCTTTAAATAATAATATTAGGTGTACTAATTATTTAAGGAATTGTAAACTCTGGCTTTTAATTGAAAACAAAATGACTTTTGCTTTAATGTTTTGTAACATATCCAATATTGAACATTTTTACGTTATGTGAAGTAAATCATACCATCTTTATCAAGGCTTCAATATATACACTGTAACAGATTCAATATTTGAGCCATGTCACGACAAACCAACATAATGTGTTTGCAACCAGCATGGATTCAGACCAGCCTGCGCGGATGCGCGCAGTCTGATCAGGATCCATGCTGTTCGCTTACAAACCCTATTACAAGTAGATAAACTGATAACGAACAGCATGGATCCTGATCAGACTGCGCGGATGCGCAAGCTGGTCTGGATCCATGCTGGTCGCAAACCCATTATGTTGGATTTGTCGTGACACGGCTTATTTATACTTCCAACATAATGTCAAGAAGACTACATCATCTTTGTCAACCCCACTGAGGTCCAAAGGCCTAAACACATATTATTTGAAAATCTTACAAATATCAAGTGAAGCACAAAAAAATCTCTGCAAAGGACAGTAAAGAAATACTCAGCATTAAATTGAGAATCGATTTTTTGAATGCTATTCTTTGTCGGATTTCAGTGAAAAGCGTTACAACGCACAATTGTTACAATTTATTTGCACAATAAAAATGATTATCCTGGAAAAAACGAACCGGTGGTGTGGGGGTTTGAGTGAATGGTCTGAAAATTTGCTCGCAGGTAGTTCGTCCAGACCTTCATTAATTGGTTCACAATCTCGGGAAGATATTTCATGTTCTGCCTTGTCAAAACACCTTAGTGGAGTCTCTTTAAGATAAAACACGGAAAATGTTAGATTTTGTTCAAATACATATATACGATTCATATTAATACATATATAAGATTGGTATTGGTTGTAATTAAGGACACCTGTAAGATGATACCTGTATGTATATTTATTTTAGGTGATAAAGTCGGCCAGTCCTATATTTCTCGAGTTGATGTGTCTGGGCGGATTATTTATATGTGTACAGGTAAACTATAACATCCAAAGTGATAAATTAACATGTATATGTTGAAATATCATCTTTTTACATGTATATGATCAAATATTATCTAATTTACTAATTACATACATGCATGAATTAGAAACCACGTACCAGATGTTATATATATATAATTCATAAAAACACAATGGTTTGATCGACAAACACGTGTTTGATGAAAACGTGTTCCTTTAACCTTTACTGATCTATTTGTATCAACTAAATAGAACAACAACAAAACCAAAATTCTGAATATATAGTATATATTGTATCGAGCACTTGGGTAAAGATGAATTAGAAACCACGTACAAGATGTTATATATAAAATTCATAACGACACAATGGGTTGATTGACAAACACTCGCATTGAAAACGTGATCAAAACAGATGACTGCTAATGTTTCTTGCAAAGGCAGACGACAATTTTAGCAGCTGGGCGAGAAAAACACGTGAAGCTTTTGAAAAAGAGTCTATCTTTTGACCAAACCTAAATCAAAGGTGAGGAAACTATCGATAATTAAACTGATATAGAACGAAAAGCAAGATTAGGCGTATGTGTCAAGAGGCTTAATGTTCTTTTGATACACCTCCGTTAGTGTTTTACACACGTATGAATGGGTATGTTTTCTCTCCATTCTATTATCCCTCACAATGCACTGTTACATGTAACAGTACGTCACAATGTACTGTTACATGTAACAGTACGTTTTACAGTAAAAAAACTCCAAAGTAAAAACCTATAGAAACAGTGATTCAATGAAATATTTGTTCGGGTTGATAAAGTAAATAGCGCATAATTATGTTTGTGGGTGACAGCAATATATCATCACTTGTAAAAATACCGTTACCTTCCACTAACGGCTCGGGTAACATTATTTTCCTCGGGATGATATTTTTACTGTTACCTACAAACCCATGTGTTATTCATATAATAATGTTGTAAATGTTTTGTTTCAGTTTTTCGTTTATTATACTGATGCGTCACATATAGTGTGTAGTGTCAGGATTTGGCCTCGTCATCTTGGATTCTTCATTATGTATGGTTCACTCATATTGAAAACATGGAGGTAATTATCTACCAAGTCATTGTTTGTAATAGTTTAAGTAAAGATTCAGACACAAAAAATATTTACAGTCATGTGACTTGAAAATACAAATTATATTTTTACTTTTGTTTGCAATAATGTTTTCAAAGACAAAGTGTATTATTACCCCTCACTTTTTTCGTAATTCTAATTTCCCATAGGCATCTGGGAGTTATTCTTACTGTTAATGCAAGTGTACCACGTGACTACGAATTTTGTACTGTTACATAGGTAACAGTATTTTTAACAGTATAAAATCTGGTCACGTGGTCTATTTTCTAAATAAAATGAAATAAAATGGCCGCCATTTTTCTCTCGATTCATTCTTATTTTTGACGATAGGGCATCGCCGAAGTAACTATTACTCTGATAAAATTTAGTTCTTTGCAACCTAGAGTCCCTTTCGCGTATAAAATATCTTTTTGTTGAATTGTCAACAGGAAACATCCGTTTTCAACGGAAGTAATTGTAATGTAAATAATTTTGTGTCAAACTGGAACATGCAGACAATTAAAGCATGCAACAAAGGATAATTTAACAATTTTAACCAGTGAAACGTTACAGATAGAGTTTGTGGACATAAATCTGTAGGATATCCTCGTTATTTTCTAAATGCACTTTGTCAAAAACCATGCGAAGAATATTCTGGATGTAGAAGGATCAGATTTCACAGATCATAACCTTATAAATGGGTTAGTGTTTTGCTTTCTGAATAAAACACAGCTTATTTTATGTTTATGACTGGTAGATATCATCACTTGCTTAAAGAATAAAAGAAAAACAGCTTCTCAAGTAGGCCTACAGTGCACTTAAAACTTGCAAGGTAAGGACAGTTTAGTTATTGCTTCTCTTGGCTTATTTTTGTTACAGTTAGATTTAGTTGCCAAATTCAGATCATCACAGTATTTGTTCGGGGTAATAAAATAAATAACACATGGGTTTGTGGGTAACAGTAAAAATATCATCCCTCGTATAAATACTGTTACCCTCGGCTATGCTTCGGGTAACAGTATTTTCCTCGGGATGATATTTTTACTGTTACCCACAAACCCATGTGTTATTTATATATTGCTACACAATAAACTGCACTGTAATGAAAAAAATATTGTCACTTTTGACATTAATTTACTGCATCACACCATAAACTGAATGATGTCATATATGACAGAAATCTACCACGAGGCCTTAAACCAATTCTATGTACTGGTATTACAATTTTTGTTTATGTAGTTGTTGATGTTTTATGTTAAAAGTAATGAAAACATACACACACGTCTTGTTCAATGAGAAATGAGCTGCGTCACGACAAAACCAACATAGTAGGTTTGCGACCACAATGGATCCAGACCAGCCTGCGCTGCCGCGCAGTCTGATCAGGATCCATGCTGTTCGCTATCAGTTTCTCTACTTGTAACAGAGTTGGTAAACAGCATGGATCCTGATTAGACTGCGCGGATGTGCAGGCTTGTCGTGACGCGGCTCAAATGTCTATCGTTTCGCTATTTTAATGGATTTGACATACTACTATAGATCATTACACCACTTTTGGCAAATCATTGACTCACCAATTAGCCTTTCAACTGTAAATAGAGGTGGAAGACAAAAAATAAAATCAAATGTTATCTTTCAACTTAACACTGGAAACAGTCTAAGAAAAAAAACGAATAGCGTGGGGATAGACATTAAATCTGAAAACCGGAAGTGTATAAATGAAAACAGCTCTTTTCTAAATTGTTACCATGCAAGTTAATTTCCTGATACTTTCTTTATTTGATTTTTTTTCTAAATGCAAGAGTTGAATGCGTCTTATCATTAACGTTTGGGATTCATTATATATATAGATCAGCAGCGTTTATGTAACTTTTAAGAATTAGTCATTAACTGCAATAAATCTTAAGTCGGTTGACGAGGAAGCTGGCTGTATTTACTCTAATGAAGTCAACATAGATTGTAATTTTTAGATTTATTCTAATTACTCACTCTCGTTATGGGAAATCTTTATCCTTTAACATCACGGCATTTACATTAAATGAACAAATAAGTCTCGTGTAACGACGGACTTTATTCGTGATTATATATCTAATATCAAAGAGTTTATTAGATTGATTGGTCAATAAAGGTGGGTGTAGAATGCATTTTGGTTCGTATGATCTTAGACAATGATGTAGGTAAACAAACTGGGTGAGTAGAATTTCATATGTGTTTGGCATCTTCTTTATGTGATCGTTTATAACAATGAAAATTTATTAAACAAAAAATGCATGTTTGCTTTTCCAATAATATACCAATAATATTAAATCCAACCTCAAGCGTTTTACTTGTACATAAAAGAAAAAAACACGTATTCTAAGGAATAGAAAAATATGTTTATTTATGAGTACAGACGATATAATTGCTTTGTTTATTTCAGAATATCTATGATTTTCTCTGTTGGAACTCACAAACGTGTTCGCCTTCCCGATCAGGTGCTTTTACAAAGGTTTGCACTTATGATTCTTCTTACAATCGCCATTTTGTGCGCATGGAACGCTAGTCAGCCACCGGAAGTTGAAACGTTCAAGACGTCTGCTGACTTGAAATTTCATGTATGCAACTTTGGCCCGTGGGAATATGCAGTAATGGGAGGTAAGAGCTTTAAACGCAAATAAATAAATAAATAGTCTGTTATAATAAGTTGTAACATAATAAGAATATAATACTTCAATTATTCAATTATATTCACCGTATTCTCCTTATTAGGCACATTGACATTTTTTGCTATTTCAAAGAGTGACAAAAACATCTTGCAGGTCATTTTTACAAGAGTAGGAATGAACTTGGTTCGGGCATTTTTCACTTTTTGAAAGGTATACCTAACGAGAACTATGTTAGGCACTCTAAATGTAATCTCTGACAAATTCTATATAGTCTGCATTATATATGGGTTGCGGACAGGGTATCAAGACATCTAATTCTTATAGGGAATTGCAACAGTGTCTTTGACAAGCACTTATTCGTCATGGTTTTAGAGGAAACATTTCTTTCTGCTGCTGATCTTTTACAAGAATATTTTAAACAGTCGTAAAATTTTGTCCCGTATTTCCCTTCAGTGTTGGTAATTTTTCTGGTTCTTCAGAATCATTGATTCCAGCACTTTTAAGTGTGAAAATTAAGTACCGCTCAAGCCGGTGCTAGGGTGTGAGGGATGTTTCACTTTTTCAATATTCTTCCTGTACAGACTCAATCAGACCGATTCATGTAATTTCATTATGATTAATGCTACCGAGGGATCACCTTTTTTCCAGCTTTCATGAAACATAATTATATTGCTCAATGTCAGGTAGCAATTAACAGCGAGTCGTTAATAAATTATCTTCCTATTATTATTTTTGATTTGGCTCCGCATCTGTATAGCTATAATCCGTGCTTCTTAAACTTGATATCTTTATTGCTCTTTTCTTAACAGAACATATAGACCAGAAGGTTAAAGATATTGTTTTATGTTTTACTTTTCAGTTGAGATCATATTGTTATTGTACGGCGTATACTTATGTTTCACCGTTAGAAAAGCCCCAGCACACTTTAATGAGAGTAAACATATAACATGGGCTGTTTATAACGCAATTATTCTTGGCAGTTTTATGTCATTCATGTCGTAAGTATGCCTTAATTGTCTCAGATTTAAACAGCTTTAACAAACATCTGTCTGTCTGTCTTGTATACTACTATACAAATGACGTCAATAAACTGAATGACGTCAGCACACTTTCCTTTGTAGGATATATGACGGCGCCATGACAAAACCAACATAATCGGTTTGCGACCAGCATGGATCCTGATCAGACTGCGCGGATGCACTATCAGTTTCTCAACTTGTTATAGGGTGTGTAAGCGAACAGCATGGGTCCTGATGCACGGATGTGAAGTCTGGTCTGGATCCATTTTTATATTGGTTTTGCCATGGCGCGGCTCAATTATTTTGTTTTCTTCAATATCTGAACAATTCAAGGCCGTCAATGAATTTACTTGTTCTTATTGTATAGTTATTAGAGGGCTATACTTGTAATTGTTTGACAGTATATTTGTTCTAATATTCTTATATGCCAAGATGACTGTATAGTTTATTAGAGAATATTGACATTAAACAGTATCATATCAACTTGGATTTCGTCATCTATCTCTGTACCTAAATACCATTTTTCTTTTTTTTCCAGACGAACATTAATTTCAGTCATTGGTCCTGATATGATGTTGTTAATACAGTTTGCTCAACTACAGGTGTACGCTACAGTCACACTCCTTATTTTATTTGTGCCTAAGGTAACTTTCATAGTGCTACAATTTAAATCTTAATCTTTTACAATATAGATGTGATAGGTTTATGCCATTATTTTAGTGCTAGTGCAGCATACGTCAATGTGGTTGTACTCGAAATATGTCGTCTGCAAATATGACTTGCACATGTGCGTCGGTTGTAATTGCATGTGCCGATTTCAAAAAATGACGACAGATAACTAACCGGATATTGATTTGTTTGTATTAGAATTATTCGAATGTTTAGAGTAACAATGTATTGTTACAAAAAATGTCAAATAAGTTCAACAATTATAACGTTTAAAAGATAAAGCATTGTAAATTTCTATGAAAATTGTGAGAAGAATCGTTTGTTGGTTACAGCCTACACTATACTTCATCATAAAATTGCTACACAATCATTTACAAAATTGACTTAATTTACGATTTATTTCGATCAATTTTTATGTATTTTGCCTATGAAGAAACTTTCACATTCCTCTTTATAGCGTTAATAGCCCACAATTTATACTAGTAGCCCCAAAAACTTTTTTCGAAAACATAGTATTTTGATTGGATTAACAATTCAGGTGGAGAATTTTAGAATTTGGTGTCATAGACATAAATGTATTTGTAGTAAAACACAATTCAAAGTTATCGTACAATAATGCAAAACATGTATTTTGAATGTATTTGTTACTTTAATCTATAGTTTATGGCAATCAAGAAAAGGTTGGATATCGAGCTACCTAACCCAGGAATGGCGACAACACATCAAACTATACAGACTGTTACTGGACGTATAAAGAAAAGCCAGATTTCTCCACTACCAGCTATACTGAAGGCGCATGCAACAACACAAACGCAATGGGACTTTTAGAAATAAAGTGATGTGCCGCAAATGAAAGTTAAATTAATTGATAATTGTCAAAATGATATATTCATAGTTCGTCTGTTTCGAAGAAAAAGTCGATCTTCTATGAACGCTGCATCGTCGACGTTTCCGTCGTCTTCATCGTCGTGCAAACACTATGATGTAGCCAATTTCTCAAGTAATGTTAAAGGTATCGGCACAAAACTTTATGTTCTTAATAATCGTGAAAAGATGTAGTTGTAAGGCAATAATTCTGAAATGAAAATTTAGGAGTTATGCCCCTTTTTATTTGAAACATGCCAAGATTGCCTATTAAGTAGAATGAACCATAGGTGTTCGGCGCGTTGATTGGTTACTCCCCCCCCCCCCCACCGGCCACCCCCTCACCCACTCTACAACCCCTTACCTCTCAAAACCATGTAAACTGCAGTATTTTTCTTTTTAGACCTGTTTTAATATTTGGTATATGCTTTTAATTCAATTACCTTCATCTACAACAAAAACTAAAAAAAAAGATATATATATATATATTGTAATGACAGCTTAAATTCCTTTAAGAGTAATCAATTCCTTACCATTTGGTACCAAGATATTTAAAATAGGTGAACAAATGTTAGAGTTATGGAATTCATATTAAGATGAGTGCTGAAAAATGAGCGGCGAGTTGCATACCTTTACTGAACATATATATATTATATCATTTTTTTAGTTTTTTTGGGAGATGACGGTATTTGAATTAAAAGCATATACCAAATATTAAAACATGTTTAAAATGAAAAATACTGCAGTTTACATAGTTTTGAGAAGCAGGAAGCAGGAGGATTTAAGAGTGGGTGAGGGGGGGGGGGAGTGGTGGCCCGGGTGTAGCGACATTCCGGTAGAGCTTTGAATACTTTATAACCATGGTGTAGGACATTATTTTGAAATAATTATTTTTGGAGTTATGTCAATTTTAAGCTGGAATATTTGTTAAAATTGCCTATGAACAAAACTATTAAAGTATCAGCATGAAAATTAGAATACTTAATTTCTCTCACACGTAACAGTTGTTAGACAAGAGGCATTATCCTGAAAACAACATTTTAAGGAGCTTATCACCCTTTTAACTTAAAATATTTGAAACTTTATTATTAACAGACGAGCATAAACACCACATGCGATGCTCTTGTTAATAAACACAAGTGCCTTGATATATGTAGGTCTTAGCGGATAACATTAATACGTCAGATGTAATAACAATGAAACAACACATTTAATAGCAAAAGACTGGAAAATATGTTGTTGTTTTTGTGTGTTTGAAATGTTGCATAGTTTGCAAAGGTGGTTCATGTTTAAACTTTAGACTATTCATTTGCTACGATACATTGGACATCATTCTATGGAACATGTAATTTCAAAATATAAAGGATACATCAAGACAGTAATAGAAAATTATTTGAGCAGCGTAACAACAAAACCAACATAGTGGGTTTGCAACCAGCATGGAACCAGACCAGCCTGCCCATCCGCGCAGTCTGATCAGGATACATGCAGTTCGCTGTCAGTTTCTCCACTGGTAATAGAGTTGATAAGCGAACAGCATGAATCCTGATCAGACTGCGAGGATGCGCAGACTGGTCGGGATTCATGCTGGTCGCAAACCCACTATGTTGGTTTTGTCGAGACGCGGCTCATTTAATCATCTAGGCAGATCATGGGTTTCTGTTCTGGTATGAACTGGTCATTTGCACATAGGTCCAGCAGGATTTTCTGTATCCAAATCATAAAGTCATGTTCGATGTTATGTATTTAGACTACCAAAAATAACTGTCATAAGAAATTTTTCAAGGCATTATTTACTAATTATAAAACATTAAATAGAGGCAAAAAGTTACAGATATAATTATTGTTTTAAGAAAAAAGGGGGGGAAACACACCAGCGTTGCTGATAATGTATTTTTTACGACTTGTTAAACACACATATCGTATCAATAAAGATATACAGAATACTTTTAAAAATACACATATACATGCATTGTATGTCCTATGTAAATCGATTTCTGTCAAATGATTAAAAAATAGTATACGTTTATATGTCTTTATATACTTGAAATTTTAATTTTATGTAGATTTTTTAACTAGTTACGACAGAAAGAAAATAAACAAGAAAACTTAGCTGCTTCGTTGAGCTTCCATTGTTCTTTTTGTTTCCCTTTGTTTAATTTTTAGATTTTATTATAAAGACCTAATTATATTTATAACTTTTTTGAGTCAAAGCCAAACAATATAAATGTGATATATAAATGTGAATGTCACATTACAAAAACTAGTACAGCGGACGGATGAGATATTGAAACGTGATGGTGTATTTGGTTTCGAAATTTACAATATTTTCAAATATTTTCGTGAATGTTTTTCCTATGAACATACAACCTTACCGTTCATGTTGTAATTTAGGTTGTTACCACACATAAGTGAAAAACAGTTCAGGTGGGGACAATTATGTTATTGTCAACGTCTAGTGATGTCATATAGCTGCAATCTAATATGAAGCTTAATATGATTAACCTAAGAACGGCTTTGCAATTTTGACTTATACTGTCTATATATATATTACATACACAGTAAATAATTTAAAATTAGTTTTAAATTATGAAAACAAAGATTAACAAGGACGGGTGGCATTCAATAAACCCACCGCCCCTACCAAATCAGAGGAAACAGATAATTGACACCAAACACCAACGCCAATTGCAATTCAATTTTGTCTTACACTTAAATTATCTTATAATGCTTACAATGCCCCGTTTTTATAATGGTTACATTACTTACTCCGAGAAAGCAACACAATTCAGAATTATTTCAAAGATATAGATCAAGACCAATTCGCTTGAAATATTTTAACATATGAAATACTTATCCCGGGACAACCAATATTCAATCAGTTAAACTGTTTTTAGCCAATAATAAATGGAAGGGGAAATTATACTTCAAATTTATTTTAGCTATGGATGCATCTATTAACACTTATTCATTTTCAGGTTGGTACATTTTCAACAAGTCTTGATCTTTCTTAGAAATTCAATAAAAACAATATGACCCACTCGGGTTACTTTCAGGAAAATTTTAACCTAAATTCAAACAGCAGGGTAATCACCATGGAAAATTTGTTAAAGATAAATCAGGGCCACTAAAAATTGTAGTAAACTTCACAATAGTCTATTCAATGATTTTCAACAGTTTTTTCAAGATTTTAAAAAACTTACGCTAAATCTTTTAACATATGAACAGCACAATGCATTGGTATGACTACTGTTTATGTGTATAAAAAGGCAGTTAAAGGTGTCACTTCTTAGTACGCTATTTGGGGTGCAAACTGATAAATGCATCCAATCTTTACAGCCATTTTACCTTCCCCACTTTATAATATTAGCAAATATGGAAACTTGTCTAGATCTGCCAGCTGGTATCGCTTACAAAACAATTATTCTACAATAATCACATGAAAAAATTTGATACAAATCTAAGATTTTATTAATAAGGAACCCCATGTAAAGTCTGATGAATATTTAGTGGTACATCATATACACAAATGTTTTAAATACACCTAGGACTGAGGTAAATGGTAAAACTCTTTAGCCAATACTTTATAAAAGAATTAACTTGCTTAGAAAAATTTTTACCACTATTTTAAACAAGTGACTATTTTGATATAGTGAAAGTGGGACAATTTATATTGTTTCACTTAAAACAAACAGTTTCTTATTGTTTATCTGAAAACATCTGACAATTAATCAAGTGTGGCATTTCTGCAAGTTTTGAAGCTAATACAACATGTGACTTTATGCAATTTAGTCAGGCATGACATCAGTGCCACAGAATTAAGAATGTGTTTGAATTTAGGTTGTGATTGAAAGTTGGTTGTTTCGGGATATCTTCTCCATATAGATGTAATTATTTTTCTGGAATTATGATGTATAAAACAGACGTTTTATTATTCTAGCATGGAGATCTAGAAGACGGTTTAATATGTTTAAATCGTTTGAATTACATCTTAAATAAAGTGTAAGTAACAACGGATAATTTATAAACAAAATACTTGCTTTTAAAATAAATGCATAATATGATATCTGTCGCTTTGAATGAATAAGATAAAGACATACTTACTGTAATAATTTCTAGTACATGTATTACATATGATGTTTTTTTTTATGATTATTTGAAAGAAAGATTAAAAAGGAATTCCTAAAGAACTCCCAAACTGCAAAAAAATGAAAATGCTGCAGACTCAGTTTGATTGAGCCTTGTAACACCGCACTTTGGGGTCAAACGCACTTTGGGGTCCTACCCCAAAGTGCGTTAAACTTCGCACCGCACTTTGGGGTCAAACGCACGCTGGGGTCAAAATCGAGAAATTGACCCCAAAGTGCGTTAATATGCTACATATCAACGCACTTTGGGTTCCAGAGGTCTAAAGGTGTAATCTGAGTTCTGCTTAAATACTGAGAACTGACTTATTTACGACTTTCGACATCGAAATATTTGAGGTGGAGTTCAAGATGGCGGTCAATACTTTGATGATGCTTAAGTGATAAAAGTTTCATTAATTTTACCACTTAAAATATCCAATAATAATAATAATTTGTTCATATAACAAAATTACGGTGGCATAAAAGTGACATTTGCAATTATTTTTATTTAAGTTTTGCATACATATTTTATTTAAGTTTTGCATACATTTTTTTTTTCAGTTTTGCATAATTTTTTTTTTTTTTTTTTGAGCTTTGCATTCATATTTTTCTTAAAGTTTTTCGTACATTTTTTATTTTGGTTTTTCGTACATATTTTAGCCAATCAAAACAGCCTTCATATCTCATAACAGCCCATAGTTGAGTATAAAACTAGCACAGTAGTTTGGTCACATTTCGGCCCATTTTTTGGAATCGGCCCAGTCGTTTTTGGCCGCGCAAGTCTTGTTTCGGCCGACCTTTTTCGGCCCATTTTTTAAATCATATGTACTTAATATA